GATTCCGCTGTATTAAGACTAATACAATTAACCTGACGCAAGAAGAGCGCTTGGTGGAGATCCGGAGCAATACTCTTCCAGGTAATACATGCACCAGCGAGAATTGATACATATCCTGTAATTGATTTCCTTTCTTCAGATGCATTCGCGAAGCTCGCGTCTGTGTATAGCTCTAACTTAATAGTACTATTACCATCGTACTCAATGCCAACCCTCGACGTTCCTTTCAAGTACTTTAGTACTCGCTGAGCCGCTCTCCAATGAGTCTTATTATAGCAAGATAGATATTTACTAAGCTCTCTGACAGCATTAGCGATATCAGGTCTAGTTCCCCTAACTAGGTACATTAAGGACCCAACTAACCCTCTGTAGTCGAATGACTGTGCCGCTATTTGTTCGGGTGACAATGTCTTTTCCTTCTCTAAGACCACAGCTTTTGCTTGTGGTGTAGGTGCAGTATTGCAGTCTCTCATCTCAAACTTATCTAAAAGGTCGTTAATATACTTTTGTTGAGATAGGCGTAGAGTCTTATTTGTAAGGTCTCTTTTAATCTCCATTTTAAGCAGGTAGTGCAACTCACCCAAGTCTTTCATAGTAAACTTGTCAGACAGCTTAGCTTTAAGATCATTTATAGAACTTAGATGTGATCCTGCAATTGTCAGGTCGTCCACATACACACACACTATAAGGACGTGCTGAGCCCCATTTATCTCCCACCGTTTTAGATACAAGCAATGCTCTTTCTTGCATCTAAAAAGCCTAAGGTTTTTAAAAAGGTATTCAAAACTTCATACCAAATTCTAGGTGCCTGTTTCAGTCCATACAGGCTCTTCTTTAATTTGCAAACTAGATTTTCAGTTCCTTTGCGAAACCCCATTGGTTGCCTCATGTAGATGTTTTCACTTAAAACTCCGTTAAAAAACGCTGTAGATACATCCATTTGGTGTAGATGCAGCCCTAATATTGTGGCTAATGCCAGTAATAAGCGCAACGATTCATATCTTGCTACAGGTGCAAACACCTCTTTATAGTCAATTCCATACAATTGTGTATTTCCTTGCACAACTAACCGTGCCTTAAAACGGTCCACTGAGCGGTCGGCTCTGTATTTAACATCAAACAGCCAATGACAACCCAATGGCCGTCTTCCAGTAGGAAGGGGTACTAATTCCCACGTTTTATTACTTAAAAGGGCGTCATACTCTGTCTTTATTGCACACTCCCACTGCTTCACATGTGGGCTTTTCCTGGCCTCCTTAATTGACCTAGGAATAGGTATTCTGGCTGTCTCATTAATAGCTACAGTATTTAACTCTGTCACGTAGTCGTTGAGCCGCACATTTGGCAGTCGTCGTCTTTTAGACCTACGAACAGCACCGTTTTGCACTCCCACTTGTCTGGGTGTCGGTGGTCGAGAGACACAATCTGGGCCAGTGGTGTCAATATCCTGCACTTCAACTTCTAGATTAGGTCTAGTTCTTTTACCTAGGCCTTGAATTACCTTTTCTTCTTCAACGTTGACGCTACAGTCCTCGATAGGGAACGATCGACTGATCATTGCTTCAGTACCAGCTGAGCTAAACTTTACATCACGGGCAATAAGGTATTTATTAGCCTTAATGTCCAGGAGTCGGTACCCTTTATGTTTAGGCGAAAATTCCAACAACTTACATTCTATAGCCCGATCGTCTAGTTTAGGATCCTTTCGTTTTGACTTTGGTATATGCGCATAGCAAGTGGAGCCCCAAATTCTTAACCCTAACCCCTTTGGTTTATGGCGGTGCAGTAACTCATAAGGGGTTTTCATTCCCAGTCTAGCCATTGGTAGTCGATTAGTGACATCCACCATATAAAGTAGGGCCTCAGGCCACCATTTAGCAGCCATATTAGCACCCCTAATAGCACACCTAACACCAGCCATCATGGTCTGGTGGGATCGCTCAGCACTGCCATTTTCTTCTGGAGATAACATTAGAGCTTTCGAACTGTAAGCCCAATTTATCGCATATTTTGGACACTTCAGTGTTTATAAATTCTGTTCCACCATCAGTCCTTATTCTTCTGACCTTATAAAGAGGAAATTGACACGACAGCTTCCTCAATAAAGACTTAATTTTCCCAGGTACCTCTTTTCAGTATTTTACGATAATGTACCACTTATAAGCAGTGGCGTCATCTACAACAGCCAATGCGTATCGGTACCCAAAAGATCCGTATAAACCGTTAACTCTTAATCGTCCGGTTGAATCCATATGAAGTGTATGTAGTGGTTCATTACTCTTATTTCCCACCAAATTTCTATATGACATTCTTTTGTCCTTCATTTGAGCGCACGTTTTACAGAAAAACGAGACCTTCTTAAGCTCTGAATACGAAATATGAGGAAGACCCTCAATTTTCTGGTTGCTCATATTCCTAATTAGACGTTCCTTACCGACATGACCCAGTCTTAGGTGCCACTCCTTTAAAAGGTTAGCTAAGTTACCACTCTGAGTGCTAAAAACACGCCTTTTAGTCGGTTTAATACTCGGTAAGTAATAGACTTCTCCTATTGCCACTGCTGCAAAGAGCAATTTTTGGTCATTCCCTATAAAAAATAGAAATTCACCTGATTTTGACTGAAAGTGCCTAAATCCCTGTCGAGCTAAATAGTAGGCACTCAACAAGTTACTATCACACTTACGGTCAAATGAGACATCACTTAGTGTTAATACACTCAACCTCTTTTTAGGGTTAAAACGGTACGTTTTATTGATCCCTTTAGTGAGCTATGAGAAAAGCTCCCGTTTCCGTAGGTAAAAGTGTGGCCCTGACTCGGTTTTAGGCTCCCACTAAACCAGCTTCGATCTGATGTTATAGCTCGGCCTGCACCAGTATCAACCACCCACATATCATCGGTCAGTTTTAACTTCTTCAAGGCTCTCAAATAGGAGTGATGCTGCTTACGTACCTCCTCTTCGATGTCGTCCATTTGTAGTGGGGACCTGACAGGGGTATTCGGCACGTTGCCACAATCCTCAAAACCTTTATGGTAGGCGGGGTCCAGATCCTCAATGTCGTCCATCTCCTCGTCCTCAATGCACTCTTCCAGAAGAGTCTTCCCACACTCATTTAGGCGTTTTTCCCCTTCTAGCACCACCGATTTGAGGGTATTAATCGGGGTTGTCTTCGCCTTCTTGGCCTTCTTAGCACCCGGTGCAGTGTTGATATCGGTCCTAAAAAGGGGTCCACCTTCGCGATTAGGATCCCTATCAGCGATCATCACCGAACAGTCCGATTTAAAGTGTCCACTCTTGAGGCAGTAAAAACACCTTTTTCCACCCTCACCTGCACCGCTTTTTCTCTTGACCCCGACATTGTTGACAGGAATCGCTTGGGTTTTATCCATTAAACCCACTTCTTTCTTGGATCGGTCACCAAAGGTCTTGCGTAAGTCCACTTCGACCCTATCCATCGTGAAGTCCTCTTCTTCATGGAGATCGCTGAAGCCCAAAATTCACTTGGGAGTTGTGACAGGACTTCAATGCACAGCCAAGACTCGGTCACCATGTCCTGGCCGAGCAGCTTCCGAGACTTTCTGTTAATCTCGTTCTTTGCCTTCTTAAGTTGCGCGAAAAGTGTCCTTAAGTAACGCCAAGGGCTACGCAACACCTTCGACCAGGCCCGGGTCAGCTCAATCAGGCCCGCAGCGTCACATTGGTCGAAGTCCTTCTCGAGGAGTCGAATGACTTCACATGGGTCCATGGAGGACACCACATCGGGAAGGGTAGAGAGAAAGAAGTTTGGAAGGACCTGATTGAGCAGGTTTTGTAAGTCGCCCCTTCCTCTCATCCAGTGCATCACGTCCCACCGCGCCGAGAGCGCCTCTTGCTCGTCCATTTTGGTGGTCGGTGGTGCTGGCTTCTTAGGATTGTCCCGCAGGAAGTCGGCCATGCGCACCTTCGCTTCAGGCTGTTCCTTCTCTAACAGCTTCGTTTGGTACTGATGGTCCAAGTGATTGACGTAAGTCAGCAGCTTGTCCTTCCACATAGTGTAGGACTTACCATTAAATTTCTCGAGGCCACCACAATAGCAGCCATTGAGAAGTACTTGAAATGTTGCTTATACACGTAGTTGGTAGTCGCCGTCAGTTTTGGATATGAGGTGGCATCACATGGCCACCTCTCCACCACATCCCTCGGCTTATCTTAAGTTGGGTGGACGCTGGCCTCTTTCCTTCAGCCATTGCCATTATTGACATTTATCCAATCAATTAGACTATTTGATTGCCTTTTAACCTATCATATTGCACAAACCGAGTATACAAAATCAAAGGTATTGCGTCGCAACACTCTTCTGGCAGTGGTGGCGGAGCTCGTGCTTGGGGGAAGGCACTGCGTCGTGATTGTTGTGAGCGGGTGGATTTGGACGGGGTGGCGGGCTGCTCAAGCGACGAATTGGGGCTTCTTTGGTAGTTCTCGAGTGATAAAACACTGGTTACCAAGCAGTATTTGGTAGTACCCTCGGAGGCTTAAGTACCAATGGTCCTTAAGCATCCGAGGGCGTCATCGATTTACAGGCGATGACGTCGATATAACACTGCACTGGTACAGTACAATGTCGTCGATTGTTGTGGACTGTGGGTCTGTCGGTGTGGATTATCCTTAAAAAACTGTGGATTTTTCATATTTCCTCTGCGAAACCTTATCTCAGAATGGGTGAATGTTGACCCAGTCGGACAAGAAGGACATCCAAGTTTCACAAGGTCCTATGTTTTTGAAATGAACGTTTATTAAGAAAGATGAGAAATTCTTGAAGGATGTCTTCAACAATGAGAGCTCGCAATACTTATATACATGTAATATCCAGCCAGAGCTTCCCCGACATTGCCACTGCCAGTGGCAACGCACGGCAATAGTATTAATATCAGAGCTTCTTCGGGGAAAGCACAATTAATATTTCAAAATACCGGTAATAGTACGATAACGGGATACGAAAAGGGTCACTTCAAAGTTCCAACGATGCCGAACAAAAAGGTGCTGCTGGCGGTGCTCCTGTTACCCCTGTGGCTCAACTTCGCAGTGATATGGGGCTCTCTGGGGCTACTATTCACGATGCCTGTGAGGCGGGTGGCGGTACTCGCCCCTGTGCTGCTGTGGGTACTCTGGACGCTCGATCTTTGGGGGTCGCGGACGACTGTCGAAGTTCCGATCGCTGCGACGGTGTCGGTGGCGTTGGGTCTAGTACTGCCAAAGAACCCGCTGATGCATTTGTCAGTCTGGGTGATTCTAGTGCAGTACATTGCTTACCTCACGGTAGACTTGACGAGTTGGCTCACAGCAATTGGCTGCTTCATGCCGGTTTGGGTCTCCATGGCTCGCTTGAGACTGTGGCTACCAGCGGACGAGAATGTCTTGCATACGGTTGAGCATCAGATTTATAAAAGTTTCTTGGGAGACGGGTTCACGCTGAGCACGGTTGCTGGACTGGGGACAGTATGTGTGCCTTATGCTGGAGAGCAGGACAAGAAGCCTCGGACACTTGTACTGGTCCACGGATACGGCGCCGGAAACGCATTTTGGGCACCGGTAATTTGAGCTTTTGTATATATACTGTTAGTCGTTGCGTGACCTGACGTGATGGCGGTGTAATGCAGAATCTGCGAGATTTAGCGAAAGCCTTTGATGTGGTATGCAGTCTTTTGTGACGGTTAATTTTGTTGTGGTGTATTTTAATGTTGAGCCATGTGCGCAGTATGTCGTGGAGTGGAAAGGAATTGGACGGTCGCAACGCCCTGTTTTTAGGCCAACAAGCGCTACTGAAGCTGATGCGTTTTTTGTGGAGTCACTCGAGGAGTGGCGAGAGGAACTAAAGGTGAGTTCTCCATTGAGGCTGCTGTGATGAGTTGCTGAGTTTAGATCTAAATGGCATGCTACTTCTCAGCTTGACAAGTTTATCCTTTGCGGACATTCAATGGGAGCTCTCTACGGAACATACTTTGCTGCCAAGTATCCCAACACGGTAGAGCACATGATCCTGGTTTCACCTGCTGGCGTCCACGCATCCACACTGACTCATTCGGAGCTCCCACTGAGTCGCCGAATTGCTTTTGCGCTGCATTTGACGCCTATGGTACTCGGATGAAGACACTCACCTGCTACCGTATCAGATATCTTTTAACACTCTGTAAACTAATGTTGCTACGCAGTCGGCAGCTCGCGGAATGGGTCCGCTCGGCCCACGCTTGGTCCACTGGATGGTGAAGAAGCGCGTTTCGTGGACTCCGCCCGGCAACGCGATCCGAATGGGCGAGTTGGATTTTGAGCTTTTCGCCAGATACTGCTACCACAACTGGGCCTTAAAGGCATCGGGAGATATTGCTGTGCACACTCATTTGCACCCGGTGAGTCAGCCACGTTTGGTATGCTGCTTTTTCTTATCGCAATGCACTGAGTGTGGTGCTACTCTTTAGGGTGCCGCCGCAAGGAGAACGCCACTTTCCGAGATCATCGTGCCGGAAAAGTGGGCACTGCCAGTGACGTTTATATATGGCGGTGGGCCAGACTGGATGCCGAAAGAGCACGGCGAAGCTGTGGTGGAGCGTCTTCAGAACGCCAATCGCTATGCCAGTTTCCGAGTCGTCCCACTATCGGGTCATCAAGTGTTCATGGACAACCCCAGCGCTTTCAGTCGTGTGCTCATTGCGGCAGTGGACGACTGGGAACTCATCAGCTTCGACAAGGCTAAAGCGTTTGCCTCAGCTCGCTAGTCAAACCTACAACGAACGTACATGTACATGTAGGCAAGATTACGGGCCGGACTAGATTGTGAAGTCCCGCGTCCTAAACAATCCTAACTTATCTAGACATCGTTCGTCAGTATATAGCTTTGGTAATTTAGTACAGTATTATAAAAGTAGAGCTGGGCGGTAGCGCTTTTGAGCAGTGTTGAGCGGTGAGCGCAAGAGCATGTTCCTGATACATGTAGCTTGAGCGATTTCCTGATTGCTTGAGCGATAACCAGCCGAGACAAAAATGATTACGCGACCTGTCTAATTGCGTGATTGAACACGTTTCACTTCCTGAAAGCATTTAAAAACTAAAAAAAACGGTGATATATGCGTTTATACAGTATGCAGGTATTTAAAAATCCCTTTCTGATTCAATTATTATAAAGGGCTATCATTTTTTAATTAACAAATTGATCAGTTTTTCAGAATGATGGTCTCACTTCACTTCCTACCTACACTTGGACAAAACTGAATTTGCCATCGAGTGAACATCGATCGATGTCAGAGGAACCATCATCGCCTCGGCCTGGGCCGCCAGCACTGCTGCGCTCCTCAGGGTTCCGCCTAGTGCTGTTGCTGCTGACGCCGTTCTTCGCGCTATTACTGACACTTTGGGGCATAATTGGCCGCGTTTTCACTCTTCCGCCCAAACTCGTAGCTGCAACAGCTTTCATGGTCACATGGGTCCTGTATCTCTGCATTCCTCACATTCCTGTACGTCTGCTGGACTGGCCGCTGGTCATCACTCTGGGTCTCGCCATCCTCTCGCTGCTGCCGCGACACAACAGTCACGTCGCTCATGGAGCTGTGACAGCTACACTGGTGGTTTACGCCATCATTCGCGTGAGTCTCACGAGTCTAGAGAGCGGCACTACCGAGAAATCCATCGTGGAAGCGTTGGCAGTGCTTTGCTGTCTATTTCCAGTGTGGTTATCGATTTGCAACTTGCATTTGTGGTTGCCGTCAGATCTGGATGAACTGGAAAAAGTCGAGAGGAAGATTTACGAACATTTCATCGTGACGGAGTTCTCGCAGACGAAAGTCGCAGGTCTCGGCACAATTCACGTGCCATATTGCGGTGACGGCAAGCAGCTCCCGCCGAGGAATTTGGTTCTTGTGCATGGATATCTCGCTGGTAATGCATTCTGGACGGCGAACTTGCAAACTCTTGCAAAATCATTCAACGTGGTACGCCCGCTATAATTTAGTCACAGTTTGAAAGGTTGAAATTTTGACAATTGTTGCCGCAATTTCGTACAGTATGCAGTCGAATGGAAAGGAATTGGACGATCAGATCGCCCGAAATGGCATCCGAAGACGGATGACGAAATGGATGACTTCTTTGTGGAGTCGCTAGAAAACTGGAGACGCGAGGTGAATCTCGATCGCTTTATCCTTTGTGGTCATTCAATGGGGGTACGTTTGCCGTGACTATCATTGAGCTAAGGGTGATATTTCGAACTGAGATGGCGACCTTAATTACTCTTTTCAGGCCATGTACAGTACTTACTTTGCGGAGAAATACCCGCAACGTGTTGAGCACCTCATTCTGATCTCCCCCGCTGGAGTCAACAGTAGCGGCCTAACGCAAGAAGATCTCCCCTCATTTTTGAGGTTTACGTCGCTATTCTACATCACTCCAATGGTACGCAACACTGCCCAAAGTCAATATGCATTAGGCTCTAATGTGCCCATGCATTTTTCAATTGTAGAGTGCAATACGATTCGCGGGTCCACTAGGCCCCGGTCTCGTTCGATGGTCGTGGCGTCAACGCATCAAATGGACACCAGCTACCAACATCGTTCGATCAGGGGAGGCGGACTTTGGTCTCATTACGAACTATTGCTACCACAACTGGGCGCTCCAGGCCTCGGGCGATATCGCGTTCTACACGCACTTGCACCCGGTAAGACTTTTGTTACCACAAATATTGCATCAACGATGCACTGACGCGTTATTGTTGCAAATATAGGGAGCGAGTGCGAGACGTCGTGCATTGGACAGCATTCTAACCCCAGCGAAACTTCACGTCCCACTGACAATTATGTACGGTGGCGGCATGGACTGGATGAACTCGGAATACGGTGAGGCGGTTGTTCGACGGCTGGAAAAGACCCAATACGCCGTTTTCCGACTGGTTCCCATGTCGGGTCACCAGGTGTTTATGGACAACCCGAGCGACTTCAATCAAATGTTCATCCAGGCGGTGCGCGACCAGGAGCATGCGGCCACGCAATTCACTCAACAGCCAAGTGGCATCTAGATTTGGTATGGGACACTAATAAAATCCATCAACGAACAAATGTGGCAGATATGTTCATCATGTGGTGGCTCTCTTTACAGTTTTTATCGCCAAAGAAAGATGCAGATCTCTGGTGTACGTGTCAGATGGACGGGATAGCAACCGAATTGAGGCTAGCCATCCTACATGCGGATGTTCCATACCGAGTTCCAGATCGGATCGCAATCTCCAACATCTAGACACTTCGCATTGTGCAGCTCACCTCAAAATATATCATAGAACCGCGTCGAAATGGCAAACCGCACTGAAGACGAATGGAGCTTGGTGAGCGACAATGAAGAAGTGCTATCGGACATGAGCTTCGACGAAGTGGACCCTGAACCTGAAGTTCTAGTTCCAGAAGTGACGGTGACTAAGACACAAGTGTCAGCTCCCACTGGGAACGAAGTTGAGGTGCCAAACCCGGAAGAAGAAATAGCAGATGTGTTATCGCTTCTCGCAGACACCAGTGTCTCTGAATGTTCAACCACGAGTTACTCTCACGAGATCCGTGTATCGTTGCTCTCGCCAACTCACCAAGATCGGTTCATGGCGTCTTCCCGATTCGACTCTACGCTCGAGTCTCCCAAGCGCAGCATCAAGTTAGCGTTCCTCGGGTGTGATGCTCGCTCCAAGTCGTTCCCTGAACGCCTGCGCGCTACCACTGCAGCCATGCGTCCACTAGCACGAGAAGTAGAGCAGCCAAAGTACACTGAAGTCACACCTTTCAAGCAAGATCAATCCACTCAAGTTGACTTTAAAGCGCCACCAGTGGAGGCACAAGAAACCCGTGCAACGCTACTTCGCGACGTATCAGATCGGTCAATGACGATATCCAACCAACTCCGTGCCAAGTCTCAAGACAACGAACGACTCTCGCTTCGTATCGCAGAATTGGAAAGCGTGATTGTCCATACCGAGCAAAAGAATCGACGCCACGCCATGATGGTCAAGACGAGCGAACGCAGTTTAAGTCTCGTCAAGCAACAGGCCAAACTGAGTGCTGAGTATCAGGATAATCTGAAGGCGATTGCTGACAATCTCAGACGAGAGAATGCCGACTTGAGGAGACAAAACACGGCTCTGCAAGGTGAGGACGAATCTTTGGCTGTGCGCAGCTTGACCGAGCTTGAAGAACTGGAAACGATGCTAGCACGCGGCATGGAGAATGTTCGCTCTGCTCTCCGTACCAAGTACCGTGCCGCCATGGAGAAGCACCGTGAACACGAACTTTGCGTTGTGTGCTTTGAAAAACCCGTGTCAGTAGTTCTGCTTCCCTGTCGACACCAAGTTCTTTGCGCTTCATGTGCATTGCGAGTGACAAGCTGCCCCATTGACCGCCAGGACATTCAGGACAAAGCTCTGACGTATGGACTCAACGCTTACACAACCAGCTCGAGTTAGAGAACGGTACCAACGCATACAAAGCGTATCTCGTTTAGTGTTTCAATCAATAAATGCATCTGTGTCTCTTGTTTTGTCCTGTTTTGCGTCTTTAGTAAAGTTGATGCGACCGACCACAACAGTCTACCTAGTCAAACATACCGTTGTAGAACTGTAGCAACTGTTGGCGACTCTTTTGGTTCTGCACGTCTGCGGCCGAACGATCCAGTTTGCGCTTGATTTTCTTGCCCGAAATGGCGCTACGGACGGTGTCCGAGTCCGACGACGAAGACGACGAGCTGTCGTCGTGTCCGTGTCTACTGCGACGTCTTTTGTCCTTCTTCTTTCGTTTCTTTTTGGACTCGGAGGACTTACGTTTGAGCTTCTTGTCTTCAGAGCTGTGATGCTTTTTCTTCTTCTTCAAATGATGCGATCTCTTCCTCTCCTTCCTGCTCTTGTCACTCGAGCTCGAGGATCTGCTCCTGCTGCGAGACGATGAAGAGTCCGATGACGAAGTGACTGAGGCGCGCCGCTCATGCTTCCGGCTGTAGGTACGACCTCGAAGAGAGCGCGAAAGCCGGCGTCCTCTTTGATGGTCGAAGCGGCTAACGGACAATATACGGTAAGTGGCAGTTTAGTCTACAGTACTACCAACGAAACGGAGCTGACCTGGTCGATCGCTCCTTCGACCGAGAGCGAGAGCGCGACGGGGCGCGAGAGCGCTCCGGGGACTTGCTGCCTACTCAGATGGTGCATTGTTCATGTCCTAGTCGCGGTTAGTACGATCACTTCGTCGTGGGGCCGGCCATACACTGTTATCTTACCTCTCCGCTCACGAGCCATTTTACTTTATGAAATCGGTAGCGTTAGATAAAAAAAAGAGGAAATGATTGCTGCTAAAACGTAAGCTGTTTTTAATGAAGAACGCAGCATTAAATTCCCACTTTTACTTGCTGTTAAAAACGGGAATCTGTATGTTGAAGTCGACACTCTCAATAAAGTACGAAAACCAGCACTAAGTACGAACCAAAAAGGATCTCATCCACGACGTAAGTCCAGCTTGTCGGTGCCGCTACAAGAGCCCAAAGAGCATGAGCGTGTGGCTGGTTTCCGTGCCCAACGAAGGCAACAGCTCGTCCGAGACGACTTTCTTGTCGCTGAAGGCGGAGACTGCCTCCAGTCGTCATGATTACGCCGGTAATAAGCAGTAGAAATGGCAGTAACCGCTGCTCTCCCTCTCACGTCTCTTCCTCCTCATACGCTTTAGACTGCGTTCGCGTGGAGCTTCCATCCGATCTACTCGTGGGGACGCTCGACTCGCTCATGGTGCATCATCCATTTGCTTAATAAACGATGAACTCACTGCAGACTGACCCGTGGCTTTTGATAATTTCGAAGGCACTGAGTGACGACCTGAACCGCGTAGATATGGTGATTGAGAGTGTCGTGCGCAAGATTGAGCGCCAATTCCACGACCTAAATAAGGGCGACCAGGCGCTTACAGTGGACGGAGGTGCGTTGGCTCAACTGACTTTGAAGAGTTGCCGATGCTGACTGGTATAATATATTGATGCAATGCAGTGCCAGTGGAACGTTATTTGGGCTTCTTCTCGTGGGACGAGGCCAAGCACCCACACCGTCGACCACTGCCCGAGATCGTCAGCATTATCCAGTCGGTAGGGCATTGGCGTCGCGTGAAAAAAACAAGGAACTTTAATGGACTAATGACATGTAACGTTCGTGCTGCAGTCGGTGGGCAAAATTGAAGAGGAATTAAAGCAATTGAGCACACGCTACACTGAGAAGAAACAGCAACTGATTGGTCTGCAACGCAAGAAAGGGTTGGTGGATTGATAGTCTAACTGCTTCTTGTCTTGAATTACTGAAAATGCACCTCTTGATGACAGTGGCAACCTGATGGTGGCGAATCTGAACGACGTTTTGACTCCCGACGTCGTGTCTACGTCGGACTTTGTCAACACGGAGTATCTGCAGACGCTGGTGGTGATCGTGCCCAAGAATCTGGAGGAGCAGTGGCAGATTGAGTACGCGCAGATCGGCGACCAGATTGCGGAGTACGGACCCAAGGGCTCGCGTGGGAACGTGCGTGGGTCTCCCGTGGTGCCGGGATCCTCACGCAAATTGACGGAAGAAGGCGATTCTGCCGTGTACACGGTGACACTGCTGAAGGGCCAGTACCAACCGGGTTTTGTGGACAAGGAAGGCAACTTTGAGCCTGGGACGACTGTGGACTACATCGAAGACTTTAAGACGCGTGCCAAGGAAAAACGTTTCATAGTCCGTGAATTCAACTTCGACCCTACAAGTCACGCGTCTAATGAAGAAGCTATTGCGGAATTGGAAGTGGAGGTGGATCGACTCTGGTCGGCGCTAATTCGTTGGTGCAAGGCGCACTTTGGAGAGCATTCATTGCGTGGATGCACATCAAGGTGCGTGTTTTGTGACGTGACGAGTACTTGAGTATCCATGTAGGGGCTAACGTCGCTTGTTCGAGCTCAGATGATTCGCGTTTTCGTGGAATCTGTGCTTCGCTACGGCCTCCCAGTGAACTTTGTTGTTGCCATGTACAAAGTACGCTGCTTCGATGTTGTATTTGCGGCATGTAGTGTGGTCTAACGCTTGCCTTTATTGTGCTTACGATACATTAGCCCCATTCAGGAAAGGACAAGAAGCTGCGCTCAGTGTTGTCGAAGAAGTATGCGCATCTGCAGCCGGCGCAGTTCTCGGGTCTTGAAGAGGGTTCTTCAGGCTCATCGCAGGTTGAGTACTTTCCGTACGTCACAAACTCCTTCAACCCACTTAGCACCACTTAATCCGGTGCTCTTCAAGTTAGGCCACGGAAGAGAGAAATGTGTATGGTTCCGAGTACTAATATAATACTACCCAGAACACTAACAGAAACCTTAAAATTGCTGTTGTTTAAGATGAAAACAATAAAAAAAAAAAAAGAGGATGGAAGTGGCTAGAGCATGCTAAGTAGCACAGGGTCAGAGGAGTAGTCAACGCCTCCGCCAGCTCTGGCACTCTTGAGTCGTCGAACACCAGGGTCCTCGCGAACTTTCATGTGGAAGACAATCTGAATCAGCTCGCGTAGGTCGCTCACGAACAGCAGCTGGACTCGATCCTTGCGGTGATCGCGTTCGCGTGTGTTATCAGTGGAAACACCGGCAAACTCCTTACGCAGCTCCTCGGCCTCGCTTTTATTTCCACGCGGTAAGATCACTCGCTTGATACCCGCACGGATTGCTGCCAGTACCTTCTCACGGATGCCTCCAACCGGTAAAATAACGCCGCGCAGGGTAATTTCTCCAGTCATCGCGATGTCGACAGGGACCGAGAGGCCTGAGATTACTGAGAGAAGAGCACACACAATCGCACCGCCAGCAGAGGGACCATCCTTGGAAATGGCTCCTTCAGGGAAGTGGACGTGGACACTCGAAATGTCATCCAAGGACAGAGTGTTAGACCCCGACAACTCGCCAGCTTCAGCTTGTGTTCTCACTTTATGCGGGAACTCAATTAGATGCGCATTCACCAGCAACCAGGAGAGAGCAAGTTGCGCTGATTCCTTCATCACATCGCCCAACTTGCCAGTGAGTTGTAGAGTAGGAGAGGCATTGGACCGTGAAGTAGAGGACGGTGCGGCCTCAATAGAGGGTGGGTGTCGTGTGCATGAGGCCTCAACGAAGAGGATAGAGCCGCCAGCTGTGCTCCACGACATGCCAGTGGCCACGCCAGGAACACTAGAGCGAAGTGCCACTTCGTTAAACACGAGCTCATGCCCAAGAATGGCGCGGATCATCTTCTTGTCGATGAAGATCGGATCAAAAGCGGCCAGGCGATCCGAGTTGTCGCCATCCTTCTTCTCTTGCTTGTCATCACTCTCGTCCAGCTCTCGTACAACATCCACAGCCACGTAGCGACAGAGTGCGCCAACTTGTCGTTCCAAGTCACGTACTCCAGCCTCGCGAGTGTATCGCATGACAAGGAAGCGCAAGGCTTCATCTGAAATGCGCACCATGCCCTCACGTAGACCGTTTGCCTCAATTTGTTGTGGGAGAAGATAGCGACGGGCAATTTCCACCTTTTGCTCGACACTGTAGCCACTTAGCTCAATGACTTCCATACGGTCCAGCAAAGGGCCCGGGATGGTGTCCAAACTGTTGGCCGTTGCTAGGAACAGAGTCCGACTCAAGTCAAACGGTACATTCAGGTAATGATCCGTAAATGTGTTGTTCTGGTGGGGGTCCAGCACTTCCAACAGCGCACTCGCAGGGTCACCTCGGAAGTCTTTACCCAACTTATCCACCTCATCCAACAGCAGCACCGGATTGTTGGTCTCGGCGTGACGAAGCGCGTTCAAAATGCAGCCTGGCATAGCACCCACGTACGTTTTGCGGTGACCACGGATCTCTGACTCGTCGTGAACTCCACCTAGCGCCACTCGCTCGAATTTGCGGTTAGTGGCTGTAGCAATGGAGCGCCCCAGCGAAGTTTTCCCGACGCCTGGAGGTCCCACAAGACACAGAATGGGGCCACGCATGTCACGCTTTAGACTACGAACAGCAATGTACTCGGTGATGCGCTTCTTCACCTTGTCCAAGCCATAGTGGTCTGCGTCAAGCTGCTTGCGCGCTCGCTCCACTAATAAGGAATCCGCTGTAGAAATGCTCCATGGCAACTCGGAGAAAAACTCGAGATAGTTGTGGAGAATGCCATACTCCGGCTGCATCGCAGTCATGCCTTTAAGGCGACGCAGCTCTCGCTGTGCGATCTTGGAGGCCTTGGGGTCCAGAGTCAGAGCGTTGAGCCGATCTTCCAGTAGTTTGATCTCGCCTGCATTGTCCCCGCCAGCCCCGTCATCTCCAGCTTCTCCCAGCTCTTTCTTGATGGCTTCAAGTTGCTGTCGTAGCAGAAACTCCTTGCGAGTGCCCTCCAGTTTGTCCTGCACCTCACTCTGGATCTTGCGTTGCAATCGCGCTTTCTCCGTCTCCTGCTCCAACAGAGATACGGCACGTTCACAGCGAAGAGCGATGGGCACAGCCTCCAGCACCTGTTGTTTCTCCCCGACTCCCACATTGAGATAGGACACCACCACGTCGGCCAGCTCTCCCGCCGACGAGTTGCCAATGGCGTCCATAAGCCCATTGCTTCGACGTAATAGTGGCGCGCTTTTAGCTGTCTCGAGATACTCCTGAGTCAAGTGTTTCAGTCTCAGTGCTACTTGCTCGAGGGTTAGCGCCGTGTCCTCCGTCTTGGCTCCCTTTACGGGTACCGGTACTGGCGCCACCAGTCTCTGGACTGATCCCACAAGATACGGTCTGGTCTGAGCCACGTCCTGCAGCTGCACACGATGCAAACCTTGCACCAGTACCGAGAGACCGGCGACGCCGCCTTGCATACGTGTGAGCTGCACGACGCGCGCCACTGTGCCCACGCTGTAGACTGCGTCTTTGGCCTCCGCTGTTGTGGCCAACAGCTGCCCGGAGTCTGCGTCGCCCTCGGCGCTGTCGCGACGGGTAAAGATCGCCAGCGTAAGCGACGTAGAGGCCGCAGAGTCGCCTGCATTCCGCTTGGGCGTCTTGGGAGAGCGTACTTCCCACACTAGGTCCTTGAGAAGCTGTAGCGCAGACGCCGATGTGATGGCCAGGCGCAGGTACGTGCGCGGGAAGAGCACTTTTCCATCAAGAGGAAGGATAGGCAGCTGCAGCGCTGCCGTCGCGGTAGAAGTCGCGCGGTCATCCATCGACGATGCAAGTTCGCGTTCTGGTTGAGTATGCAGAAGGTTGAGGTTAATGCGGTCCGCGATAAGTGATGCGGTTTTTCGAGTAGTAGCTTGTTGGATTTTCAGATGAGAATTTCGTAATGCACCGATTAAAAAAGGACACATGTAAAACAAAAAGTTTCATTATAAAGGTTGTATTGAATCAAGACCGCCACTTCGTTTTGACGGTCAGTCTACACATACTTTCATGCAGGAATACGAAGTCTCAAGTTCATGTCGACAAGGACCAACGTACATTTTTGTCATGATGACCAACGTACATTAAGAATCCTTTAGCTTACCAGAGCGTCTTAGAGCTCTTGGTCAGTCTTCGTGGCCGCCAATTCATCCGACTGCTCCGTCTGCAGGTGGTCGTCCTCGTCCAAAGCCTCGCTGTCGTCCTCGTACAGAGGAGTCTTGCCCTTGGTGGCTCCCTTAACCAGAACAGGGTCCTCCTCGGTCTCACCAAGGGTGCCATCCGAGCCATCGTCGTAGAGCGTGCCGATCGAGCCAGTTGTCGTCTCACCAGTCTTGGTGGACTTCGAGGTCTTAGTGGCAGGGCTCTTGTTGCCGCCCTTCACCATGATATCGTCCTCTCCAGAGTCTTCATCGTCCCAAAGGGTGGTCTTTCCCTTAGTGGCTCCCTTCACCAGGACCGGGTCCTCCTCCTCGAGGCCAGTCTTGCCCTTGGTGGCTCCCTTGACGAGGACAGGGTCCTCCTCTTCGTAGAGTCCAGTCTTTCCCTTGGTCGCTCCCTTCACCAGAACGGGGTCCTCGATACCAGAGTCCGAGTCGCTGTCGAGCAGCCATGAAAGATCGTCGTCGCTTCCAGAGTCGTCGTCGACAATCGGGTACTTGCCCTTAGTGGCTCCCTTCACAAGGTCGGGGTCCTCATTGCCGGACTCCGAGACATCTTCCTGAAGCCACGACAGGTCGTCGCTGCCTGAGTCCAAGTCATCCAAGACACTCTTACCCTTGCCACCCTTCAGGGGGAGGTCATCGTCGTCGTCGCTGCCACTGTCCGAGTCAAGCAGCCACGACAGATCGTCGCTGCCACTGGCGTCCGATCCCTCAGCCTCTTCGAAGGCGTCGATAATGTCCTGAAGTTCAACCTGGTCGCTACCGCTGCCAATAAGAGACATAATGTTGATCTTGAGGTGGCTGCCATCATCACTGTCACTGTCGCTGCCGAAAAGGTCAGTCAGGTCGATTGTGAGATCATCGTCGTCCAAAACGTCGTCGCTGCCGCTAGCGTCAAGCGAGTCAGAGAAATCGAAGTCGTCGCTTGCGCTGGCGTCGTCCGAGACGGTCGAACGCAGGTAGGCCGGGTTGCCAGCGTTAGCGGCAGTAACGGCAATTGCCGCAAGAACCAGTCCAGTAGCAAACTTCATTTTTTATTGATTCGGGAGGCGCTTGATGTGTGCTTTGCTTCGCGAAAAGGAGAATGAGCAGCAGGAAGCACGCGCCCTGCCTCCCGGCACCATCCAAGTCTGTATCTCGCGGCATACAATCCGGAGCGGGTCCCATCTTAGGAGCAGTACTAACCATAGTTTGCTGCATATTATTTTCGTTAATGCACTATTACGGTGTTTCCCATCCGTCAAGATGGCGGTCTGTTTGCAAGGAACCTTATGCTGCTGCGTTTGATCGGCAAAGGCAGATCTGCGACAGTCTGGCCCAGACTCTGGGGGATTACGATGTAAAAGGTGTATTAATAAATACCGGTAGCCGGACTGATCTGAAAATTCATGTATTGTGGAGTCAAAGGAGATAGAGAAGATGGAAGAGCGAGTACCGGTAATTGTAGGAGGATAATCACCAGGGAAGTCTTTGGTACCTCGAAGTAATACCGTTACGTACAAGTAGAAATTTTCCAAAGACGGATTCTTGTCGTGTCATAATAACATTAAGGAAGTCGACTTGGTCGCCAAGTATTAGGATAAAGGAAAATAACCTTATTACTTTTAATTTATCTTTCTTTTTCAGTGAGGTTCAATTCTAAATAGTATCCTAGCGATTGCCGGTGTCCTTTCAACCTACTTGGTCCCCTTCCAAGTGAGGCGTATAGCTACACCGCACTAGGCTCCCGTGCCTTACACGGTGCCGTCTTCCAAACATGTTCTATCTAAAATATCCAGGGTACTAATTCCGTAGGTACTACAGCGTGTTCCAGCACTGAAGTTCACCTCGATTCGACGTTACACCACATATTAAAAACGCAGTGCAGTAAATGTATTAAAAATACATACCGTACCAAAAGTAAAACTTACTCTTCCCTTCAGCTCCAGAATCTGATCAGGTTTTTTTGTACCGGTATTTCTTTCTGCAAACATTTACTTACTATTAATAGAAGTATAATGTTTTTGATAAAAACCGTCTTTATCTGGCTTATGAAATTTGAAGTACGATATCTTAAAATTAGAGCGTTTTTAAGGTTTATAGCAGGTGCACATATAAAATACAAAAGCTATTGCTTAAGGGTTTCAATTGTATTTTATTTAAACAGAAGAAGGACGAATCTTGATTCAAAACGGCTCAAGCATCAGCCGTTGGATAAATACCCTCATTATTTAAACGCTATTAATACCTCGCTGTGCGAATAAGAGCATCTGCTCTTGCTCGGTTATCCTCTCTGAGAATTAGCATTTTTTTTCCAGTGGGTGCCTCGTGACAAAAACGGTTTATCAGTTCTTTGGGTCGTTTAATCTACTGTACCAGTAAATTACAAATCGGTAAACAAAACGGTGCGACCTTCGGATTTAAACAGCTTAAAATCTTGATTTGTCGCTGCTCCAAAGGTAGGGCTAGCGACGAGGATGCGACGGGGGGTTAATGAGGGGCGGGGGTCTAGCGCGCGGGGAGGGCTAGAGGTATGTCGGGATAGAAAATGCGGGTTTTTGCATCTCGTTGAGAGCCGGGACGTTATGTGGACTGGGAGAGAAGCAATACTTGGAGG